TAGCACGCACGACTCTGCGCCTGCGGCCAGCTGCCCGCTGCCTGCTGCATCTGGCCTCCCGCCCGTCCGCCAGCCCCGTTCAAATGCCCAAACCCGCGAACTGCGGTGACCCGCCCTCCCTCTCCCGCCTCCCTCTGTTGCCGCAGCTCCAAGTTTGAGCAGCTGGTCGAGTCGCTGCTGGACCGCACGGTGCAGCCGTGCCTGAGCTGCATGAAGGACTGCGGGGGTGCAGCCCGCCGACATCCAGGAGGTGCTCATGGTGGGGGGCATGTCCTTGGTGAGCTAGATTTTCAGATGGGGTTGATGCCCGAGTGGTTGGCCGGGCATCTGGATCTGTGTTGGCGGCCCGATTGGGCTGCTCATGCACACTCTGCCTGCCTGCCTGCCTGCCTGCCTGCCTGCCTGCTGCCTTGCCTGGCTAGCTTTCTGCCTAGCTGGGCGGCTTCTGTCGGCGTGACGCTACCCTGCGCCCGGTTCGCTGCACCCCAGGTGCACGAGATGGTGCGGGGCATCTTCAAGAAGGAGCCCAACAGGTCGATGAACCCCGATGAGGTACGGCGGTACTGCAGGCAGTACAACATGCAGTACAGTGCACCTGCAGCGCGGCAGCTGCGCCTGCAAGTTTGACAGGAACGAGTGCATGCCGTGGATCGCCAATTATGTGCTCCTCCCCCACTCCTTCTCAATCTTCCTTCCTGCCCCTCTCCCTGCAGAATGCAGGAGATCAAGGCCAAGAGCAATGAGCTGCAGCAGGCCGTAATGAAGGTTGGCGTGTCGCTGGCGGGCCGCGGTGAGGGCAGTGGCAGCGGTGAGAACGTCCAGGACGCGGAAGTGAAGGACAAGGAGAGGTAGACAGCTGGGCGGCTGGTTTTCCAGACAGGGGAGGGGAGGCAGGCGAGTGTTGGCGCCCAGCGCCGGAGGCATGGGTGTGCCGTCCCCAGTGCTGCGCCGCCACGAGGCACGCTTGGAGCGGCCGCCCAGCCGACCGCACAGTTGTTGCCTGCGCCGATCCCACATCGCATTCAACCCACACTTCTTTCCCTGTAATGATGCACATTGAGCATGCAAATGACGATCCACTGAAAGGGACTGCTGGAGGTGTGACCTTGTGACGCAGCAGCAGGTGCAACTGTGGTGCCATTGGTGTGAAAACCCGACCCTCGTTACACAGGCGCTCAGCAGCAGCACTCACAAGCGAACTCTATCTAGACGGCTTGAACAGGAAATACCCCATGCCCGCCGTCACGGCGCTAGAAATTGCCACCAGTTTGATGGCGCCAACATTACTGCTCACAACACGCAGCTGGTCGTCCAGCTTGTTGATGTCTAGCTTGAGGTCCTTGAACTGGGCCTCCATCTTGTCGTCCAGCTTGTTGATGTCCAGCTTGAGGTCCTTGAACAGGGCCTCCGTCTTGTCGTCCAGCTTGTTCAGCCTGTCGTCCAGCTTGTTAAACAGCGCCTCCATCTTGTTGCTGAGCCTATCCTCCATCTTCTCCAGCCTGTCATCCATCTTTTCCAGCTTGGTGAAAACCCAGCGGAAAAAAAGTGCAACGCCTGCACAGACGCAGCCTCCCAGCCAGGTGAGTGCCGTGGGCAGCTGGCGGGCTGCTGCGCCGATGACGGCATCGGTTAGCGCCTTCTCATCTATCTTGAGGGGGGGAATGGGGGCCTGCAGCAAGTAATGCCGCAAGTCGCTTCAGGGTGCCGGTGAGTTGGGTGCCACAGCAAGCATCCGTGAGCAGGGCAGCAACCCAACGAACCGTGCCATCGGCTGAGCATGTGCACACACACATGCACACGCACACAGCTGCAGGTGACGGGGCCACCACCCCATGCACCACGGCACCGTGGGCGACATGTGCAGCTGAAGTCGCAGGCACAGCAGCCACCGCGTGTTGGGAACCGGACAGGCACATGCCAGGGGTCAGGTCGGTGCAGCGCAGCGAGCATACCTGCTGGCTGGGCCCACTGCCTGCGTCGCCGCCTCCCTCGTCCTTGCCGCCGCCACTGCCGCCACTGCTGCCACCACTGCTGCCGCCACCAATGCTGCGCGCAGGCCCGTAGGCGGGAAGTTCTGGGCTGGGGGGGCGCTCTGCAGGCCCAGGCGCCGCGCGGACCGAGGCGGGGGCTACTGCAGCACATGGTAATGAGCTGTGGGCGCTGTATGGCCGGACAGCAGGGCAGGACTGAGCGCAAATTCACGCAAACAGGTCGCACAAGCAGCCTTGCCAGCCTTGCCAGCCTTGCCAGCCTTGGACCAAGCACTTAAGACCACGCCTTGCCTGTGCCTTGGAGACCGTAGCGACGGCCGCTCCCGCCAGCACCAGCCCAGCCGCCCGCAGCAGCAGAGGTGACCACGCCTGCAGCATGGCGGGACAGGCAGCATGGCTGTCAGTGCTTCTCCAGCAGTGTGCCCACGGCCACAGTCCGCGAGTCTCAGGTTGGAGTATGTGCTTGCCTGCTCGCGGCGTGGCGCGGGCCACGCTCCCGCTGCTGACCAAGCGGATCATGCCGAGGGGACGCAACGAGATGGCGGCCATCTCGCGTGAAGCCAAAAACAGTTTCACGGTCTACGAATGATCAGGAAACAAGGAGTACCGATGACGAGTCTAATGCGGATGTTTTGGCTTCTAAATGAACACAAGAGAGGCGTTGAAATAGAAGTACTTCCTTCTCGACGCGGTACGCCAGACTCCAGTTTGCGAGCATTGCCCTGCTTTCCCTGCGCAGCTTGTTCTTCATCGACATGAATCAGCTGGCCCAAGACCGGCGGGCGCTGCTGCGCTACCTGCTGCAGGTTTGTGGTGGTTCGCGGCCATGTTGAGCCAGGCGGAGGGATCTGGTGGTAGAAAGGTTTAGTGTGTGTCCAGTGCAGTGTACTGTGCTGCCCTGGGCGAGGAGAGGAGGGTAACGACCCCCACCCACCCGCCGCTGATCACCAGCCCGGCCTCTCTTTGCCGCTGCCGCCCGCAGGACCTGCAAGTCCGCGGCAGGGACGTGCTGCTGCCCGTGGGCTGCTCTGACTTTGACGAG